AGCACTAAGCTGCTAACTGGTTAGCAAGATGCTTTCGACAAACCGGCCACAACCAAACTTGCTTGGGAACCTTCCGTCACATCAACTCCGCCCTCATGATAATCGACCAATCACATTCACTTTTTTCACTTTGGAACAGCCGCTTCCCTCTGACTTTAAGAAATAAGTCCGTACGTCAGTCAACTGCACTTCAAAACACATGGAATTAAAGCGTCTCAGCTATCTTGGGAAAAATCAGCTACTGAATGAGGGACGTACGAAATCACTCGATTCGTACTAATCGTGCTACTGGTGTTGGCAATGCTTTAAAGCTCTGTTCTCCAAGCTGTTGGTTTAATTTAGTTGCTACGTCAGTGCAGCTTTCTAGTAGAGATGGTCGGCGCCTTCCCCAAAGAGGTGACCTTATTCTCCTCCTAAAAAGTTGATCAAAGTTCTCCTTTGTTAAAAGGTTGTGTGTATTTTCTACCAGGACTATTGCCATCCATCAGGTCTCATTCTGTTTCGTCTGCAGGTTTGTGGCGTCCTTCGCCTACTACGGCTCCGTGCTGAGCAGCTCGGAGCTGCTCGAGAAGAACCTGTTGTGTGTGATAAATGCTGACAAAGAGCATCAGGTCAAACACCGGCATGAGAACGGACTCTGTTACTGCATCCCCTTTGGAAACAACGACTATCACACGCTTCTCATCAGCTCCCTGGGAGAGGTTGCTTGTGAGTTTTCAGAACTATTTTGGTTTCATATGTTTTCAGCTTAAAATGAGATGAAACCAAATTCTAACAGAGATATTCTTTTAGCCAGTTTGTGATTTTCTGTTTCTTCTCCTTCCTGCCAGTGGTTCCACTAAACATTATTCTGCTCAATGTGTTTGGGCGGAAGATAAGCCTTTCTGTGCTCCAGCTGCTGACGGCTGTTCTGTTCATGATGGTCAATATCTGCACCACGATGTAAGGCCTGCACTGAAACTCCTCTTCTACAGTTTGATTGGTTCATTAAGTGATTCATTAGATCCCAAAGGCCTGACTGAAAACCGGGTTTGTCCACCAGAGGGCGCAGGAGTAATAAGCCATGCTATAGTTATGACTGCCAAGGTTGCTGTGAACAAAGAAAAGTCCTGCTGGGTTGTTATTTATTTTTGGTATTTACACTTTGTTTTTATTTACTATCAGTTTAATAGTAAATAAACAGAGCTGGGAATCCAGTCCAAATCTTGGTGTTCCTGAAGCTAGAGCGTTCAGATGCAAGTTCATGGATGCTGAATAATTAATTTTTATTTATACTAGCTATTCTTAAATTATTATGCTGTTCTTAAAGTACAAACCACATCATAAAACGAAAATAGAAATACAATAAGTATAGTACTTTAATGCTTTCTGATTGTGTTTTTTCCAATGAAGAGGTTTTATTCTGAGTTATAAACTTTTTTTTCCACTCAATCAAAATATTTATTATCTTGATGCTGTGTCGCTGTTTGCGTTTTGATCGGAAGGTGAATTTTCTTTCTCCTTGATGTTGTTATTGGAGCCTCGCTGAAGGATTCACCAGTAGAGCTGCTGTAAATCTGTTAATTCGATTAATATCAGTTGGTCTCTGACCACACCAAGCTGTGGCTTTTCCACGAGGCGTTACAGAACGGCCGGTGTTCTGTCAGATCAACATAGCCGTACTCAATACGAAAGCGTAAGACGTCAGATTTGCATATGCATAACCTGACTAAAGGGATACAAGCCCGATGAGCTAGTTTAAAGTGATTGTTTTGCGTACGAAAATAAAGGCATAAACTAAAGGCATAAACATTCTCGTTATGTTAAGACTTTATTCTCGTAATATTACGACCTTATTCTTGCAATGTTATGACTTTTTCTCATAATTTTAAGACTATTCTCGTAATGTTATAACTTTATTGTCATAAGTTTACGACTTTATTCTCGTAATGTTACAACTTTATTCTTGTAATGTTACAAACTTATTCTCATATGTTACAACTTTATTCTCATAAGTTTACAACTCTATTCTCGTAATTTTACAACTTTATTCTCATAATGTTACAACTTTATTTTCATAATGTTACAACCTTATTCTCGTAATGTTACAACTTTATACTCATAAGTTTACGACTTTATTCTCGTAATGTTACAA